TCCTCGGAATTTGGAACACTGGATGCGCCTGCTGTTTTTTGTCCTCCCAGTTAACTCCGAGATTATTCTAAGATTTTGCAAGTCTGCTGTCAGTTATTGGGCAAGTTACTAGATTTTTTTCACCAAATGTATCTCACTCATGTCCTTTTCAGATGAAAACAGTGATGAGGACCAGACCCTCGTTGTGAGAAAAGAAAAGAAAGAAACTCGCGTCAACCCAATGATTCAGAGGGTAATTAGGGGATTATTCTTTTTTTATTATTATTTATATTTTTTTGACACGTGTTTGTCGAGAATTGTTTTTTTCTGTCTTAATCACTGTGTACCTCGTGCACTGGAAACGGCAAGTATGTATCCAGAATCAGCTGGTACAAAGTTAGATTTGCAAAAGTCTAAATCTGCATTTAGATTTACAAGAGTACTAAAGTATTTAAAAGTGTGTTATGTTAATGCATATATAGATTTTTTTTTTACATTTAGAATTTGGACAAATATTTTTATACACTTGCAAACCTGATATTTTGAAAAAGTTTATAAATCTAATCATGCAAACACACATTTGCAGACAAGACTGCTATGAAAGTAGCCTCAAATGAGACAGAGGTGACTGTTTTTGTTTTGGGATTTTTGTCCAGACAAAGAAAGTGGAGAGAGATGCTGTATCATCCAGTGAAAGTGAAGACGAGAAAGAAGACAAGAAGATGACTGTTTCCTACAAGTCCACACGATCAGCGGTGAGTTGACTTTTTCTATCATACTGACTTTTTAAAGGCTGTCCTTTAAAAGTAAAGGAGATATGAATGACCAAGGTATCCAACCTTTTTGTTGTTTCATCTGTATGCATGCTGATTTGGCCTCTTCTGATTTGCCTTGTGTGTGTGTGTGTTCCCTGTCCTGTATACTGCTTAAGAGCCACACTCTTGCAAACTTATTGATGTGCTCACATATAAGTGTTTAATGTAAATCTTTTTCCCAATCCTATCCAAAAACAAGAAACCAGAGGGACCGGAGGACATGGGTGCAACTGCTACATATCAGCTGGACACAGAGAAAGACAAAGATGCCCAGGCCATTTTTGAAAGGAGTCAGAAAATCCAAGAGGTAGTAGATGTTAAAGCCTTGTAGAAAAGGCTACAACTCCTATCACATAATGACTTGGTTGGAAAACTGTTCTGTTCATATTCACAAATTGTGACTTGAGTGCTAAAATAAAAAAAAATAAAAAAATCCAGTAGTTTCAACTAAATATTGAACTAATGTTCTTCTTTTTCCTCTTGTAATAGGAACTGACAGGTAAAGATGATGATAAAATCTATCGTGGCATCAACAACTACCAAAAATTCATCAAGCCTAAAGACACAACTATGGGCAATGCCTCCTCTGGCATGGTCAGGTGAGCATTAAGGCGAGGCTTATCCATTCCATCACAGTCACATTGTGTCATTAAAAAAATAAAAGTAAACAGAACACCAAATGCACTTCTCTTGTGGATGTGTGTATCATTAAAACTGCTAATAAACCACAAAGACAAAGGAAATCTTGAGCTTTTTAAGGGGCTTGAAATAGACATTAAATAATGCTCCATCTGCTCAAGACTTTCCTATGATGGTGCATGGTTGATGATCATCACTGATGCAGTTTTGGTTTTTTTTTTTAGTTCTGAAATGTAATTAGTTAATACTGATATGTATAATTCAGTTCAATCATTTTAACAGAAAAGGACCAATCAGGGCTCCTGAACACCTGCGAGCCACAGTCAGATGGGACTACCAGCCAGATATCTGCAAAGACTACAAGGAGACTGGTTTCTGTGGTTTTGGAGGTGGGTATGATATTTTAAAATACATGTCTTTTGTATAATTAATCAAACACTTTTCATTTTAATGTCTTTTTAATGACTTCCCTCCATCTATTGAGGAAGAAAAACAACTCAGATTAAATGTTACGTGTTAAATGGGACAAATGTAAGTAAAACCTCCCACTAGTTAGAACAACATACACTCATTGGCCACTTCAATAGGTGTATCTGTTCAACTGCTTGTCGGTTCAAAAATCTATTCAGCCACATAGAAGCAGGCAATTTGGTTTATGTGACTCAAATGTGGCATTGTTGTCGGTGCCAGACAAGCTGATCTTGAGTATTTCAGAAAATGTGGATGCACTGGAATTTTCCCACAGAGCCACCTTTAGGGTTTACAGAGACTGGTTCACAATATTAGGTGAGCTGCAGTTCTCCAGGTGAACTTCCCTTTTTGATGGCAGAAATCAGAGATTGGTCTAACTGCTTGAGCTGATAGGAAGGCAACAGCAATTTAAATGACCACACATTACGCAGAAGAGCATCTCTGAATGGACAACTGTTAAACCTTGATGCAGATGGAGGTTCAGCAACAGAAGACCACACTGGGTTGAACTGGTGACAGCTAAGAACAGAAAACTCAAGCTACAGTTCACACAGGCTCACTCTAACCTGGACGATAGAAGAATCTTGTCTTGTATCAACAGTTCATGCTGCTGCTGCTGGTGTAATATTGTTGGGAAACAGTTTCTTGGCACACTTTGGGTCCCTTAGTACAAGTTGAGTTTGGTTTAAATGCCACAGCATATATGAGTATTGTTGCTGACCATGTCATACTCTTAATGACCACAGCGCATCTTTAGACTTTGCTCCCAGCACAATAATGAAACGTCACAAAGCTCAAACAGGTTTCTTATACATGACATTAAACTCACTGCTTTCAAATGGTCTGCGTTTATAAGAGAAAACACTTTTAACATGTGATGTAATGGGAGAACTTAAGAATTTGGATTTTTCAGGAAGTCAAACCATGCAGTATTTTGTTTAAAAGAAGTCACTATGACAAAAAGGAAAATTCACAAAAACAACAGAAAATCAGGGAAAAGTTAATGGCAATAATATCAAATTCCCTTACAACTTTGTTTTTATTGGGGTATTGTTTTTGTTTTGTGGGAAATTAAACTATTACGTGTATAAATGCATTAGGTGGCACAAGTGTGACTGCAACTGTGCCAAAGCCTTTACAAGAAAAATTTTGGCAGACACTTTTTTGGGTGGTTTTCATAAAACCTTATTTTTTCTTAAGACCTTTTTTCATTGCGATTGAGTTGTGTTTTTTATTCTATTTATCTATAGATTAGAGCAATTTGTAGTGTGTGTGAGACATTTAAGAAAATACTGGTCGTTCAATAAAGCTTGCTCATGATCATCTCTCCTGCTATCAGACAGCTGCAAGTTTCTTCACGACAGATCAGACTACAAACATGGCTGGCAGATTGAGAGGGAACTGGAAGAGGGACGATATGGAGCCAATGGTGAGTTGAGAAGGAACTGCATTTTTGTTCCTACTGTAAACGATCTTTTCCTGAACGCTGTCTTATTTTTATTTAGATGAAGAGAACTATGAAGTAAGCAGTGATGATGAAGACTTGCCCTTCAAGTGCTTCATCTGCCGGGAATCCTATAAGAATCCCGTAGTCACAAAGTAAGACTTTAATGTCATTTTTTTCCTTGCCAAGCTGTTCCCTGTTTTTGGAAACATATTAACAAGTCTAATGTCTCTCAGGTGCAGGCACTTCTTTTGTGAGGTTTGTGCACTTCAGCATTACCGCAAGTCCAAGCGCTGTTATGTGTGCGATACTCAAACCCACGGAGTGTTCAATCCTGCTAAAGGTAGGCAAGATCTATATAAAACAGACGACTTCTTTAAATGTCTTGATTGTCCTTTCTGCATCCTTGGGTCCGCTCAGTTACGAGTGAAATCAATTTTGGCTTTAGACTTTGAGTGAAGGAGTCCATGCAGATGTGTGTTTGCCTACTTTTTGTCACTGCGCACTGGGGTGTGGAGAATTTACATAAAAATGCGTCAACTATGCATGCGATGGCTTCAAAGTATAACAGCAATGATTACTCGGCCATCAGCTTTCCAGCTGTCTTTGAACGCAATAAGTATAATCAAGGTTATAAGATAGTATTGTAATCAGTGCAACTTAATAATACCCATTAATCATGTTTTAATTTACCTTTTTCCCCTCTCAGAGTTGATGGCTAAGCTGGAGAAGCACAATGCCATGACAGACCAACCACCATCCGATGAAGACAATTAGCAAAATCCAAACATTTCCAGCCTCCCCTTACGTGTTTGTCTGTGTAAAATTGAAATAAAACATTTTTTAACAAGGTTTACAGCCTCACTGTGTGGTGCCATCAAAATAAAAAGTTAACGTCAACCACGTTTATTGTTAAAAGTCAAGTTTGAGTTTTGCAACACATTGCTTTGCCCTCACTTTCAAATATACATGCAGACAAAACAAGCACCAATAAAACATTCATTTTTGACATGAGTTAATACCCAGAGTAAGTTCAAGCAAATACATACGTCTATGCTTTGATGGTTAAACTAACACGTTAATCTTAACCTCTGTGCAACAGAACAGTTGCCTGAAACATGAAATGTAGTTTACACTGTAACACAAGCAGAGCTAAGAAATGTGTTTACATGCTGTTAATTTAATTGACCCTCCGGGTAAACGCAAAACCTTCCATCTGGTGCAGAAGACTAACCGAGTCAGCTGTGAGGACCGCTGTGCGCCATTATGGCCTCACTGAGCATATGGGCCGCATCAAGCAGCCCTGTTCTCACACGAGGTAGAGTGTCCCCTCTGAATATTTAGTAGCAGCTTCAAACCAGTTTGTTTTGTGAGACTCTTTAGGCTACAAACACAGACTCTGACCTCAACACTAGCATGAGGAAGTGAGAGTCCTGTTTTGTTTTAGCTCCAGGGGGCTTGTAATGTAAGAGTACAATCTGTAAACAGGTGTAGGTGTGTGTGTGTGTGTGAGAGAGAGAGAGACAAATAGGCAATCAGTGCAGTGCAAGAGTTTGTGCATATCTAAAGAACAAAAGCGTGAGAGATGTCAAAAGAGGCAGGATGGCTGCTGGTTTGTAACCTGGGTCTGAGAACAGCCACTCCTTTTAGTATTATATACATAGGGGCCATAACAAAAACTAATCTTGTCCCATCTGCTCAGAGAGTTTCTCATATGAACATCTTCCCGCCAAATCCTCCACTGTCAGAAGTCCCAGTCATCTACTTCCAGGTGGCTGAGACCGGACTCCAGACTGGCAAGTCCAGAAGGTGAGTCCTGAGGCTGGGAGCTTTCAAAGCTGGTGATAGGCGACACGGGCCGCAACAGCTCAGGTAGGGCCTCTGAAGGTCGCCGTTTGATCTAAGAAAACAAAAAGATTTAGAGAACAAACTGAAACACGACCAATTCATATCTTATTTGCCAAATTTAAATGTTCTAACTCTCCCACAATTGTCTAACACTTTAAATACTATATACTGATACATGTACACAAGTGAAAATGTTATAATTAATTCGATATCTTGCACACCTGTTTGAAGAAGGGATGGCCAACAAGACTGGTTGCAGATGGTCTGAAGAAATGCAATTGGGAAAACAGTTAGTGTCCCAGTCATAACACATTCCTAAAAGCAGTTGCAGTGCATTTATCGCATATATACTTTAAATATGCAGGGAGAGTTTCGCCAACCTTTTTTCTGGGTCTCGCTGTAGACACAGCTCAACGAAGGCGTGGAACTGTGGGGAGAACGTCCGGTTGTATGGGTGTCCTCCTGACGATGACGAGGGTTCACCGTTGGAGTGTCGGACTCCTCCCGGTCCCGGACCCTCACAGATCCCAGAGTCAGCACCAGAACGGGAAGGCTTCATGGACAGCTCCTCTGGTGGTATAGTTGTGGTATCCAGCAAGCATGGCACTGTCCCGTTTAGCTTCTCCAGTAGCATCTGTGGAAATGAGCTAGTATTAGTTTAACCCAATGACCTTCTTGCACACCTTAGAGTTTGTGGTTTTAGTGTTCAGCTTTACCCCTAATCTTCAGTTTAGATCAAAATGAAAATAACACCAATATTGTTGTTTACCATTAAATTACTTTCTACAGTCAAAATGTAACATAGGAGACTATTTAGGGCGTTGACACATCTCGGCTTACCTGTGTAGCTGGCATGTCTTTGAAGGGAACGTGTCCATTGGCTAGTTCACAGGCTGTGATGCCGAGGCTGTAGATGTCTGATCGAGAGTCATAGCCCTGGAGATTCTTCAAAAAAAAAAAATCAAATAGAAACTGTCAGTTTCATCTGTACCCTTCTTCTCATTTTCGTTGTGCATGTAGCATGAAAACTATAGTTCTGCAGCCTCTAACATTGACCGCAGAACAGCATTCACAGTGTTGAAAAATGTAGTACCTGTTGCAACACTTCGGGACTAAGCCACGGCAGCACGTTAACGCTATACTGGGGGAAGTCGTGGACCACTTTGGCCCTTTGGCCATGTCGAATGAGGCTAAAGATGCTCCGCAGACCTGACATGCACACTTGTCCATCTGCAGAGATCAAAACGTGGCTGGCCTTCACACTCCTGCATAACCAAAACATTTAAGATAATCAATATCGTATCAGGTGTGAATGATTGTATTTTAATGACAGGGTAATATACATTAAACCACATGCTTGTCTTACCGGTGCACATATCCCATATGATGGATGTATTCAAGAGCTTTGAGCATGCCTAGCAAAATGTATGCTATAGTCAGCTCACTCATACCATCTGTAAAATGTGTGCAGATGAGATCTCTGGCTGACCCTGCAAGATTCAAAAACAGATGATCGTGATTAGAAAGCTCTCCGACATTAGCAGAGGCCGCTTCATGAATTGTTAACATAAATTTAGTTGCATAACGTATGAGAAACAGCAATAAGGTAAGAAATTGGATTTCTTACCATAAGCCATGAAAGGTGTGATGACCCATAATTCATTTTCAGCTATAAAGACGCTCTTGTATGGTAGAATACTGGGGTGGTGAAACAACTTTGACACATGTAGTTCACCCTGTGAGACAGAAAGGAAACTACATCTTATTATGTCAGAACGAAAGATGGGGAGGAGAAGATTACATAAAATGCAATAGACTACAAGGCTGGCAAACAGATAAATTCTCAATAAAGCACTAAAATGAAATATGGGGAGGAGGGTGACATAAGAGTCAAGTCATGCACACTGAAGGCATTGAGGGATTCAAACCTGCAGGTAGGTAACCATGTCATTAGTACATGACTCCAAGTCAATCCTTCGGATGGCAACATGCTCCCCAGTGGGTCTATATCGAGCCAGGTTAACAGTCATTAAATTGTCCAAGCCCCGACCTACAAGACAATATTCAAATCACTGAGACAAAGTCATCCTCCAGTTCTGTTTGTTTGAATATTTATGTTGTTGTATGTTGTTAAATGCTAAACACACACAACTTAACAATACTTTTTATTTACAATCCAAATACTATCTTTAATAGTAAAAAACAACAACACATCCTTACCATTTAACTACACTTAAAACAATCAAGGCTACATTCATCTTTAGTTTAAGAGGAAGGAAAAACCACCAGGACTCTAAACTACTGATATAGTAGCAGATCCAGCTCATGAGCTATCATAATTCACAGGAAGGTGACCACGGTGTGTGTACATTTGATTAAATTCTGATCAATACTGAAAAAAAGAGCAGTGATAAAAATTTTAAATGAACAGTTGATAGACTTATTGCTATAGAAAAAGCTTATTGTTCCTTTGACCACTTGTTTATATATAACTATTTTTAAGTTGAGTGTTCTTTACTCAAGCATCAATACATTTTGTTTAAAAAATGTCCAGAAATAACAAGAACGACATTAATGAAGGTCACCCAAAGCTACTACCTTAACTATATGGAGGCCAGCTGTGCTTAAAAGGTGCATTAGGAGTCAGGAAAAACCCTAGGTGATCTAGTTTTATGAAGGAAAAAAAAAAAAAAACATCACAAGAAACTGTTCTTTAGCCAGTGCAGGCAAAACAAATCTGTTACTACCAACAAAAACTGAATTAAGTTGAGGAATGTCTTTGATTTTACTTACCAATAACAGCAAGGAGCTCATAAGAGCTGCTGTCAGGAAGGAAACTGCCCATAGTGTCTCGACGAGGGAACGAGGTCAGACTCTCCTGACTGTCCTCATTGGCCTGGAGGAGAAAAGGAAACAGTGAACGAAGATCAGTTCTGGCATGAACCTCAGTGGTCATAGCACTGAACCAAAAGGGTTTGTGAGTGACAGCTGGAGACTTTGTCTTATGTGTGATAGCTGTTAGAAGATCACTAGAGAGGAGACTATGTTAGCATGACCCACAGCACTAGTGGAATTAGAGAAAATTAGCAACACAAACTGGGCAAACTATAAGTCTAATCATTAAAATAATGACCAGAGCTCCACTTAATCAGAATACCTCAATAATTCCTAAGGACATATACGCAATTTTAATTGCTCCAGAGAATTACGGTGCATCAGTTGTATATGGTTACTCCTCTGAACAACACAGTGTAAAAACATGGATGTAGCTTCCAGGCCAATTGTGAAGGGTCTTAATCCCTATCTCATAGGTGTCAACCTCTGGCCCGCGGGCCATTTTTGGCCCGCAGCCTAATTACATTTGGCCCGCGAAGCCATACCAAAATACTATTAGAGATGGCCTACTGGTATTATACAGCTAATATATATATTGTTTAGTATTAAGCTTTGCTTGTTCCATATTCAGTTTTCCAGCAAAACTTATTTGAGTCCATAAGAAAAGATTCATTCTTATATCTGGAGGAAGATTTTTTTTCCAATAAATATTAATGTTAGCCCGCGACTTTGTTCCAGTTTTGAATTTTGGCCCACTGTGTATTTGAGTTTGACACCCCTGCCCTATCTGAAAGCCATGTGTGAACGCTCGTGTGCTAATAACTTGTCAATTACAAGTCACGAACCGATAAGCAAGCAGTTTCAAAGTCAGATCTGCCCCTCTCCATTACATCCGATTGCATTTTTTTGTTTGTTTGTTTGTTTTGCAACCAAGACGCTAATAGTGTAAATGCTCATTTCAAAGCCTCGGAACGAGACTTCATGGTAACTGTGCCATCTTTTAAACCATCTATGCTATGAACTAATTCTCCAATAACAAAAACAGAAGTTAAGCTTAAAACCTTTTACATAACATGTAGAGAACAGCTTATATTTTTGAAAGTGAGGACTCCTGAATTCCATCAGTTTACTTCTGTTAAAATGATGGAAATGGACAGACTGCAGTCAAGCTGTGGAGGCAAATGGCAGCAAGATGTATGAATATTTGGACTGTCTCCATGGTGACCAGCAGTAAGAGACAGGCAAAATTAGAACAGCACCCTTCTTTGATCATAATTGACTCTTACAGGCTGGAGATGGCTTCAAGATCAAGATCAGGAACACACAACTCCGAAAATATCCTCACAGATAAAACTAAGAGTTGTTTCTTGTGTAAACCAAGCCACAAGAAATTATCTTTATGTAGTTTAAATTAAATACACATTAAAACTGGCATGGCAGCAAAGTCAAACATGCTTTGGTAGCCATCGCTTAAGGGAGTGTCGGCAAATGTCATCTAATCACATGGGGTACACTAGACGCTGCCACTGATCAGATTTAGGAAGGGTTACCATGCATTGCAAAAGCTCAACACATGGAACTCCATCCATTAACAAACTGCAGGGACACACGGTCGCAGACATCAAAGTGTGACACTTTCAGCTCACCACCAACTCAACATAGGGGCCGTCACCTCACACAGGAAGTGTGAAAACATACAATATCTTTTTAATGTTACTCAAGACTTTTAGTACGGCTACAAAAACCCATCAAAATCCAAAACAGCAGCTGCCTGAAGGCCAACATGTAAACAGCAGCACACCAAAGGACTCAGACTATTTCAAATAAGCTGTAGGTATGCTTGTCTATAAACCACAAAACAGAAGCCCTTGTGAGTGAGGTGAAAAGGGCTTTCTATGCTACAAGCATGTACAGTGTGTGTCATGAACTGCAAAGTCATGCATATATAAATGTGCAAAGCCTTGAGGGGGTAGTGGATTCTGCTTATTCTGTGTGCGCACATACATATACATGCATGCACGCACATACACAAAAGGCACATGGGGTGATGCAGTGGCAGGAGTACCACACTTACTTTCCTGTGAGAGACTCCCTGAGCTTGCTCTGGGGTAGAAAAACCACATCAATGACATAAAAACATGTACACAAACAAAACAAGAGAAGGATCTGTGTTTAGAGAAGCTTTTGAACTGGTTAACACAGCCTCTGGAAGTAAGGGTTTGCTGCATGACCCAAAATTTGATAAATGAGCTTTGCTGGTTTCACATGATTTGTCTAATTCAGCATCTTTGTCCTTGGTGACCACCCACACAGAATTATCTGTTTTAAAGGCTTCATTCGTTCTTAAAAAAACACAAATTTAAAAAATAAAACAAAACAATCTCACTAAACCCATCAGGCTCTTCCCAGATGTTATTTTAACCATCATGAACACAGCCAAAACAGAAATTAAATACTTGATCCAAATGCAGCTCTGAGCAATGATCTGCATGCATTGAAATGAAAATGAGACAAATACTGTACAACTTCTTATTAAAAACAAACACTTGACAAAAATAACAAGAATATCTCAATTATAATACTAATTATTGAGGAGTCTGACAGCCCAAAGATGAGCTTTGCATTCACAGGATTTTCAGAAAACTTGACCTCTGACCTTAAGGTCTAGGTCACACAGATATGAACTTCTTCAAGATTTTTTGGTAGCTATACATATGGTGTCAATTTGAAAATTGTACGTCGCTTTGTTCTTCAGTTATTGCATTTACAAAATGTGTCGACATCACCCACCTGGCAGGGTGACAACAATACCCCATCAGCCCTTTATGGCTGAGGGGTAAAAACTATATAGAATATCAGAAACAAGAGTTAGCAAATCATTACAACTCTAAACACATTAGCAAAGCAACTCTGTTGCCAATATCAAGATTTTTTTTTTTTTTTTTAAAGTTGCATAAATGTTCCTTGTATGCACGTGGAACTATTCCAAATCTAACCTTAAATAAGTTGCTCAGAGTTAAATGACTTGTCAGCTGGGAAGAAGTAAGACAAAGTGAGAGACACAGACATCCCTTGCTAAGGCTGTGTAATGAGTTTAACATTAGACTCCTTGGAGCCCAATTAACTGAGACACCATACTATGTAGGCTTTACAACAATATGGATGTTTCTTCAGTAACCAATTACATTAAATTATGTATGTGACATTGTAGCGCTGTGAACCCTGCAAAACCTGGAGCACCCTCATTGCAACAGTCCCTCTACACCTCACTAAAGAGTTTCTTGTAGCCTTAAGGTGCAGTCATTAATGAATTAATGCATGAACTGCAGTCACTGAAGGTGGGGACTAAGAAATAGCTGCAGATTGTCCATTTACCTTAACTCTATGTCTCAGACCTCAGATCAGTTTTTATCAATGCTTGCATACTTTTCTGTCAGCTGAGCACTGCAAAACAATTACACCAAACTAATGGCTGTGGACCTTTTGCACAGTTCAGTCACATGCGTGCCTTTCTTGTTTTTTTGCTTTATTTCCACCCTGTTTTCACACTCTGAGTTGCACCAATGCTGAAACCTCGTGAATTGTTTTTATTTTTTTCCCCCAGATCAGGAATCTAAGGGAACCAAAATAATTAAGGCAAAGGCATTTTAATTCCCATCCTTGTTTTAATACTATTGTACCCTCTTCCTATTTAAATAAATAAATCTCCCTCTCACCCCCGAGGCATGGTATGTGCTCCTCAAACTCGGGTCCTCTACTAGAGGCCTGGGACTCTGAAGGTTCTGCCTCTTAGACATTCCTAGGACTGCACTATTTTTTTTCTTTTAGGTATGTTTTATCTTTGTTTGTAACCACATGTTTAAATGATCTGCATTGTTTCACATATGTATCTACTGTGTATCCCATTTTTAATGACCATTTATGTTAATGGTGTACAGTACATGTGGTCAGCTGCAACTTAATTCATTAAAAGGATAAAGTTGCATTTAATTACTTGTGAAATAAAATATTTAATAGTCAAAAATAAGAACTTTTAATACCAAATACAACTTCAGAAGAAGCGTGGCAAGCCCACATGACATCAGTTGTGAGTGCCATCCTGTGATAATGTTCCCTTGTAAAATGAAACAATAAGTTAAGAACGCTGCTGACAGATGATTAGGGGATGGAAAGCTTTCATAATTGTGAAATTCACAGCAAAGTAAATACTCAACTGGAGCAAAGCTTCAGTGAAAACTGAAAGTTGTTTTCTGTTGGTGCTGTTGAATGGTCAGTGGTTTGTGAAAGGTGAACCCTATGGTTAAAAATTAATTTGGCTTTGAGTCTCACCTCCAAACAACTCCAAATCCCGCAGGCTCTCCACACTCAATTTCTCAGATACCCAACGCTGACATACACAGAGAGTTAATGGAAAAAAGGAGAGAAATGCAAGCAAGAATAAGGAAAGGTTACACATAAATATAGGCACATTTAATGTTGCTGAATAAAGTTGGTTAATTTAGTAAGGTGCAGCTGTAGAAGTTTCTTTAATATTGTGCAAGAGAAAGTTGTGCAAAGCTCTGTTTCAAACACATTTAGCAATTGTGTCCAGTCTTGTATATCTATAAGCAGTGCTGGATCGAAAGGCAAAGTGTTTCTTTGCTGTGTGAACTTTAGAAACATGAATACACTAATGATGAATCCCTTAAAGGGATTAATCCTTCTCTTGGTACAGTGGCAATCTTCAGTGGGCATAATGAATAAAAGCATACAATTAGACATAAGGCATGGTCTGGCTTAAGAATCAATCCTCATGATACCAGCCCTGCAAGACAATACAAGAATTTAGAAGAATTTGACCAAATACTTACAAGAAAAGACATCGATCCTCTCAAGTGTGTTACATTTGATGCCGAAAACAGATAAAGGGAATAACTGTGGAAACAAGAAAGAAAGAAAAAAAATGTATGTAGCGGTCTAGCCTCACTCAGTTGTAGTAGTGGTTAATTAAATTAAATATAATCAATACATATTACAATTATTTCACAGAATAAATGTGAAATTTAACACAAGTTGTAGACAATAACATGTCTAATGCTTTGGTACGTCGCCAAACAAGCAAAGCCAGTCTTTCCTCGTTTTCATTTCGCTTACAAGTTATCGCAGTTCATTAAAGCGCTTACTAAACCTTGTATAGAAAAATAAAACAACCAGCTAAATGACCTGTAGAAGTAACTATTGGTTTGACGGATGACATCTCTTTTCTTGTCATTTTAAGCCTAGAAGCGGTCGGAGTTTACGTTTCAGTATTGATGATGGCTACGCAAACAGATTTGCTGAGCGACTGTCAGCAACAACAAAAAAGGAGAAGAAGAAGGAGAAGCGTGAATAAAGCGAAAGAAAATAAAGAAATCATTCACTAGTACCACAATAATATTATTGTTATTATTGGGGGGGTACTCGCTAATGTTGCTATGATGGAGGACACAGGGTGGCATAGTTAGCTAAAACGGCGACATCAACCTGTTTTAGTCAGAAACGCCATTATTTTAACACCTCGATAACTCACCCGTATAATGCTCGGAGCAGAAATGCCTTGTTGATGTGATACCGTCTTAGACTAACTTATTTGGCGCACCATCCTCTCCGGCAGGATGTTTTTGATAGCTCTCTACTAAGCTTTATGGGTTGCGCGCCGTGTCGCCAGCGAATGACGAAACGCGCAAAAAGAAACCTCGCGCACACGGTTGACGCAAGCACCGTGGGGGACTAGTGAAAACAGAGGCGCTTTTATTGGAATAAGAAACAGGTAAATAAATACTCCCTACCGTTTAGCACTACAAAGGCTCGATGCTTTCGGCTAATGAAAAAAAAATGAAGCTCTGTGCTGCGCTTGGCTGTGAAAGGGCCTCGTTCACGGCAAAGTTTCGATCCTAACGTCGCACACCTCCTCGGCCTTACTGCGGCCTTGAGCTAACGCTAACATTTGGTGCAGATAAATCATGTCCAAGTGCTGTTATTGTCCAACTGCTACGACGCAAACAACCTCTCGAAGCTAGCAGGGCAATCAAAATGTATTGTGTTTACTTTTATCTTCGTATTTAGCGTATGCGATAAGCTTTAGGAACCGTAACGTCGATGCTTTGCTGTTGCTTTTTAACAAATATGCATACCGCCAATAGACAGCAGTTTCTGTAGTACCGTTATAGATATCAATAAAGGCGTTTCATGAATTTTGTGTATTTATCATAGTAGTCGTATTGACGTGAATAGTCGTAGATGCTCGTCTGCGCATGTGTTGTTCAGCTAAAGTTGGTTTCCGCAGTAGGGGATGTAATGTACTTACAATCCGTATTATTTGTTAGTAAACTCGTCATTATCCACCGAAATGCCCTTGTTAGAAGTGGACGCTATTGACTATGTGACCGGCTAAAGAGAGAGGTGTCCATAATGCTGAGTCAGATTGTGCTGAGGGCACCTTTAATAAAGAGCCACGAAGTATAGAAAAGGTCAGATGGAGCTGCACTTTGTCTTTCTGAATCAAGAAAAAGTGTATGATAGGATTCTAAGAGAGGAACTGTGTTATTGCATGAGGCAGTGGGGACTGGGAGAGAAGCATGTAAGCGTGGTGCAGGACATGTGTGAGGACAGACAGTGGTGAGGTATGAAGTAGGTGTGACAGATGGGTTCACTGTGGGGGTAGGATTACATCAAGGATCGGCTCTGAGCCCCTTATTGTTTGCAGTGGAGGTGGACACATTGAAAGATGAGGTCAGGTTGGAGTCTTCGTGGATTATGGTGTTCGTAGATGACGTTGTGATTTGTAGTGAGAATAGTGAGCTGGAGGAAGCGAACTGGTGAGAGTTATGGTCTGGAGAGAATAGGAATGGAGGGCAGTATAACCAAGACAGATTACATGTGCACAAATTAGAGGGAGACAGGTGTAACAGTGAAAGGTAGTCAAGGTGGATGAGTTTAAATACCTGGGGTCAACCATCCAAAGCAACGGACAGTGGAGACAGGGTGGAGACAGGAGCCTGAGCTGAGTTGAACATGATCAGGTTTTAGTTGGGATGGACAAAATTAGAAGTGAGTACATCAGACGAACAGCTCAGGCCAGCAACACTAAAGAGGCAAGTTTGAGATGGTTTTTAAAAACTGAGCTGCCTGTAAGGAGGAAGAGAGGAGGATCACAGAGGTTGGTGGATGTAGTGAAGCAGGGTTGGTGTGACAAAGGAGAAAGAAGAACTGAAAGAAGAACTATTTTTTAACTTTAAATTGAGAAGTGTAACAGGGCTGGTTTAAGATTTTAGAGACTTCTCTAAGAGCTCTTTTTTTAAATTCTTTTCAGAACAGCCATGAACTGGAACAAAGGTGGTCCTGGTGTGAAGCGAGGTTTTGGCTTTGGGGGGTTTTCACTCGCAGGAAAAAAAGAAGAGCCTCGCCTTCCTCAACAATCACACACATCATTTGGAGGCCCAGGATCTGGAAGTGGTGGATATGGGAAGAACCAGCAGCTCCCATCATTCTACAAAATAGGGACCAAAAGAGCTAATTTTGATGAGGAAAATGCGTGAGTATTACATATCTCACATATGTACAGTAATAGAAATATTAATTTCAGCCCTTGATAGCAGCACATGCTAGGATTGTGAGTAAATGTATAAGCTGCATATGTCCTCTTTTCAATTAGATATTTTGAAGATGATGAAGAGGAGTCCAGCAGTAACGTGGATCTGCCTTACATCCCAGCTGAAAACTCACCCACACGGCAACAGATGCAGTCAGGTGGTGGCTCAGACAGCGAAGATGACCCTTTGGATGCTTTCATGGCCGAAGTTGAGGTGAGTAGAATTTTACAGATAAGCAGAGACTCAAACTAAACTAAATTCTGCCTTTAACAGATTTATTTTATTTTTATTTTTCAGAACCAAGCAGCTAAAGACATGAAGAAACTCGAGGAGAAGGAGAAGGAGAAAAAGTCAGTCAAGTAAGACTCTATATTTGCTTGTTTTTATGCTTAATTTAGGTGTTAGGCATTAAATAAAATAATTTCAACAGGAAAAAAGAAATTGCCCACAATTGGATCAGAATTTCGTTTAATTTTAAATGTGGCTTAAGTTGCCAAAAGCTGTTAAACTTTACTCAAACCTTATCATTCAAATTTCTCCAAGAAAAAAATGTAAATAAAAATAAAAATCCAACAGTACCTTTGCTAAATTAAAAAAAAAGATATTGTGAGGTAAGCAGATTGATCGTACTCATAGTGGGATGTGGGCTGTCTTTGGTGTACGAACGAGCCGCAGGGAAGTTTTTTTTTCTCCGCTTGTCATTTCAGGGGTATTCGTGATGACATTGAAGAAGAAGATGAGCAAGTGAGTGAGCCCTCCAAAGTTTTTAATCCTCTACTTTGCTGGTCAGAGAGGTCTACCCTCTCTAATGTTATAAAGCCTCATGTCTTCCCTTTTTTTTGACCAGGTTGCATATAGGATCAATATTTTTAAATGCATTTCATTCTTGTTTTTAAATTGTTGAGTATTCTTTAACCCGTATGTTAAGCTTGTGCTATAAAGCTGAAAGTCTCATTTGTCACTTCATCCTGGAGGCTGTAGTAAGGCTGTACTAGCTCACTTTTTCACCTGAAATGATTTAATCTCTGCAGGAAGCTTACTTCCGCTACATGGCAGAGAATCCCACCGCTGGGCTGACACAGGAAGAGGAGGAGGAAAACATTGATTATGACAGTGATGGGAATCCAATTCCCTCTACAACCAAGAAAATTATCATGCCACTTCCTCCTATTGACCACTCAGAGGTAAAGTTCATAATTCTCACTGAAAACACACAATTGTTTGGGGGGGTTGTTGTTGTTTTTGTATTTCTCACATATGATAACTATTTGATTGTACATTTTGCTGCCTTTTTTGCAATTTTTCATAGATTGATTATCCACCCTTTGAGAAAAACTTTTACGAAGAGCATGAGGAACTCAGCAGCTTGACAGGAACTCAGGTGCTGGAGTTGAGGCATAAACTGAACTTACGAGTAAGTCTGTTATTCATTTTTTGTACCTGAGAAGGGATAGGGATGTAGTTTAAGCTTTCTTTTCTAGTCTTATTTTCTTTATCACCGATATTACTAGCAACATGGATCGCGAAATAAAGATTAAGTTATTTGTTGCTCATTGTTTTGTTCTTTCTCAGGTATCTGGTGCTGCCCCTCCAAAACCTTGTACCAGCTTTGCCCACTTTAATTTCGATGAGCAACTAATGCACCAAATTCGGAAGTCTGAATATACTCAGCCCACACCAATTCAGTGTCAGGTATGTTGTAATTTAATGTTTTGATATTCACATGGGTGAAAATTTAATAAGTTGTTATTAATGGGGAATAAATTTTGATTTTAGGGTGTCCCCATTGCGCTGTCAGGACGTGATATGATAGGTATTGCAAAAACGGGCAGTGGCAAAACTGCAGCTTTTATCTGGCCAATGCTGGTTCATATCATGGACCAAAAGGAACTGGAGCCTGGGGAAGGACCCATCGCAGTCATCGTGTGCCCTACCAGAGAGCTTTGTCAGCAGGTAAGAGAAGGTTGGAGTATAAAGGGTATATTTGAAATTACAATGTTAAAAGCGTTGGCTCAGTATGGTGTGTAACTGTTAATATTTACTAGATCCATGCAGAATGTAAGCGCTTTGGGAAAGCCTACTCATTGCGTTCAGTGGCTGTATATGGAGGAGGCAGCATGTGGGAGCAAGCCAAGGCTTTGCAGGACGGTGCAGAGATTGTTGTGTGCACTCCAGTAAGAACCTTTTTTCATTTCTCCTGGTTAAAGATGAAGCATTTGCTGCACTGTTGCAAAATAAGCATTAAGTTCACTGCACGTGTGTGTTTGCACAGGGTCGTCTGATAGACCACGTTAAAAAGAAGGCCACGTCTCTGCAGAGAGTAACATACCTGGTGTTTGATGAGGCTGATCGAATGTTTGATATGGGCTTTGGTGGGTTATCATTGTCACTGCTCTAGGAAAGATGTTGTGCTTTTATTCTTTCTAATTTACAGTATGTTGAAATCATTTTTTGTTTTCTTTCTTTTTGCTTTAGAATATCAGGTTAGATCCATTGCCAGCCACGTTCGCCCAGACAGACAGAGTAAGTGATATGATTCATTATTTTTTTTAATGCAAATACTGGAACTACTGAGAATTTATATATTAATATTGATTCATTAATTTCTTCTCAGCTCTTCTGTTTAGTGCTACATTTCGGAAGAAGATAGAGCGGCTTGCTAGAGACATTTTGGTTGATCCCATTCGTGTCGTGCAGGGAGACATTGGAGAGGTAAATATAGCTTTTAATGTTAATGCTTCTTAAATGTTCACAGGGTGGTGAAGTACATAGAATTCAACTTTTCCTAACTTTCGATTTTTAAAACGTAGTTTCATGTCTACTCAAATGTTCTGCTGCAAAATAGACAAAGTTTTGTAAGACATTTTTGTCTTTAAAGCTCTGTTTTAAAAAGTACATAACATGTTTTTTTAGGCTTTCATTAAAATGCAAACAAAAAAATGCCCTGACACTGCTTTTATTTTAATCCTCTCTAAAAAGGCCAATGAGGATGTGACTCAGGTAGTGGAGATGCTGGTCAGTGGGTCTGATAAATGGGGCTGGCTGACTCGCCGGCTGGTCGAATTCACCTCC